GAGGAGGAGGATAATGAAGGCTTCATAAACGTGTGCGGCAGCGGCTTAATGCTCTATGGGGAGTTGCATGAGAAGCTGTTCAAGCACCAGCGAGAAGGTGTTGCCTTCCTGTACCGCCTGCACCGGGAGGGCAGGCCTGGTGGCATCCTGGCAGATGACATGGGCCTGGGCAAGACCATCCAGGTCATTGCCTTCCTCTCGGGCATGTTCGATGCTGAGCTTGTCCAGCATGCCCTGCTCATCATGCCCACCACCCTGGTCAGCAGCTGGCTGGCTGAGTTTGCCAGCTGGACCCCTGGCCTGCGTGTCAAGGAGTTTCACGGCACCAGCAAGACAGAGCGCACCAGGAACCTGGAGAGGGTCCAGAGGAAGAATGGCATCATCATCACAAGCTACCAGATGCTCATTAACAACTGGAAGCAGCTAGGTAGCTGCCGTGAGCAGGAGTTTGTCTGGGACTATGTCATTTTAGATGAAGCACATAAGATCAAGTGCCCGTCTAACAAGACGACCAAGTGTGTGTATGCTATTCCGGCCCAGCACCGCATCCTGCTCACAGGCACTCCTGTGCAGAACAATCTGCGGGAAATGTGGTCCCTGTTTGACTTTGCCTGCCAAGGCTCCCTCCTGGGAACTGCCAAAACTTTTAAAATGGAATATGAGAACCCTATTACAAGGGCAAGGGAGAAGGACGCAACTCCAGGCGAGAAAATGCTGGGGCTAAAGATGTCGGAGAATCTCATGGCCATCATAAAGCCCTATTTCCTCAGGAGAACCAAGGAAGACATCAAAAACTATAGTGCTGGTGAAGTAGATGCTCTTCTTCCTGAGGATCCAAGTGAGAACAGGGCTCCTGTCATGCCATCTCTCACTAGGAAAAATGACTTTGTTGTGTGGGTGTACCTGGCACCAGTGCAGGAAGAAATCTACAGAAAATTTCTCTCTCTGGATCAAGTGAAGGAGGTGCTGATGACAACCAGATCACCTTTGGCTGAGCTGACAATCTTGAAGAAGCTCTGTGACCATCCCAGGCTTCTGTCTATGAGAGCCTGTTTACAGCTGGGCTTGGAAGAGCAGGACTGCTCTGAGGAGGATCCCGGGAATGAAGCAGGTGTGCTTTCAGGCTCAAATAAAATAGATTCTCTCCCTGATGAGATTGTGATCAAGGAGTCTGGGAAGATGCAGTTCCTTGTGGGACTGCTCGAACGATTGCGAGAAGAGGGACACCGGACCCTGGTGTTCTCACAGTCGAGGAAGATGCTGGATATCATAGAGAATGTCCTGTCTCGCCGGCAATTCCAGATCCTGCGCATCGACGGCACCGTGACCCACCTGACGGAGCGGGAGAGACGCATCAATGCCTTCCAGAGCAACACGGACTACTCAGTCTTCCTGCTCACCACACAGGTCGGGGGCGTTGGCATAACCTTGACAGCAGCCAACCGAGTGGTGATCTTTGATCCCAGCTGGAATCCTGCGACTGATGCTCAGGCTGTGGACAGAGCTTACAGGATCGGGCAGAAAGAGAATGTGGTGATTTACAGACTGATCACCTGTGGCACTGTGGAAGAGAAGATATACAGACGGCAGGTGTTTAAGGATTCGTTGATAAGACAGACCACTGGTGACAAAAAGAACCCGTTCCGCTATTTCTCCAGGCAGGAACTAAGGGAGCTTTTCACACTGGAAGATACTCGGTCATCTGTGACTCAGATCCAGCTGCAGTCCCTGCATGCCACGCAGAGGAAGACTGACCTGCAGCTGGATGAACATATTGCTTACCTGCACTCCCTGGCAATGTTTGGCATTTCCGACCATGACCTGATCCACACACAGGAGACGGCTCATGAGGAGCAGGTGGAGAGTGAGGAAGCTCATCAGTACATCCAGCGTAGGGTACAGAAAGCCCATGAGCTGGTCCAGCTGGAGTCCCAGCTCAGAGACCAGAGGATGGAGGGGATCATAAACACTTGTGAAGAGAAGAGCCAAAGACCCGCAGGATTGGTTTCTGGGCCAAAGAAATTGTCTCCAGGGTTGAATGACAAAAATCACTTTGTTTCACCACTAGTAGCTGCTGCACATGGAGAAGACAGAGTTATTGATCTTACGGAGGACGAGGAGGCCCAGGTGCTTAACATCAGCTCCAAAATGACAACTCTGATTATTGGTGACTTGGATGAAGAGAAACCAGTGCAAGATGTGTCCAGTATGGAGGCAGAGCTGCTTAATACCAGCAAGACAGAGGGACCATCTGATATACAAGAATGTGAGCAAAATTCTGAATCCAGCCGTATACCATCATCCCCTGGAGTCAACAAAGAGAGTCAGAGCCTCCAAGAGAAAAAGCATTCCCATGTATATTCAGACAGCTTGGCTGAGGCAGGGAATGACCTGTCTGGGTATTGTCAGCAGTTTTTCAATGACTCTGGCACAGATAACAAACTCAAAAGGGATGCAGAAATGTCAGTTCAGGTCCTTGACCCACAGGCTGCCCTGGGGACAGAGCAGAAAGAAGTTCCTGAGCCAGCTTTGGCTTCCACAGTGCTGAGCTTATCAAACTTGACACCTGAAACCCATGCTGGGCTCCACAAGTCTCATGTGCTGGAAGACAGCTCCAAGAACATGTCTGCACCTTCACTCCAGGATCAAGTTGACTTCAATCTGGTCTTGGAAGAGTCTGATGAGGGAAGGCAGGATGCCTCAAATAGGGAAGGATCAGTGGAACACCCAGAGAAGAAAAGCTTCCAACTCCAGGCAGAAAGCTTGTGTAAATCTCCAGCCAAAGAATCTCCAATCAAAACATCTCCACACCAAACGTTGCTGACTGAGCCCAGTGACCATGGCAAACCCCGTCCTGCAGCTGAGGAAGAGCCAAATGCTTCCCTGCACAGGAGCATAGCTTCAGAGGGAAGCAGTGGTCTCTTTACTTGTGGTAGGAAGAAACGCTTAAACAGAATTGTGTCAGACAGTGAGAGTGAAGAGCAACCTGAACAAATACCCTCCTCTCCCTGGGACACCTCTCAGCACCAATTTCTGGAAGGAATTAGCGCGTCCACCCCTAAATGTGACAAAACTAGAGCTAGACCCATCTTTTCTCCCCAGCTGATGAACAGTGGGAACAGGTCTAACGCTTCCAGGCGCTCGTTCATCAACAGGGTGGTAGATGAGGTAGAGGATATTGGGGAAATCATGGGAACCACTGATGAAGAAGATGATGATGACGACAGTGATGAGGAGCAAGATGAGCTTGTGGAAGAAGAAGCTGAGGAGTGCAGTGGGGAATCTACTGAGCCTGTAGAAGAACCTGCTGGAGAAACACTTGATACAGGTGAAGAGTCCTCCCATCTAGACAGTGTGGAATCTGAGCAGTCAGAGGTAGAGGAGACAGAGTCATCTCAGGAGGAATCCACTGGTGATGCTGAGCTTCAGCTGGGGGAGCAGATTGACTGCTTCACCCAGGAAAGCAGCTCTGAAAAGAGGGTTGGCCAGAGCTCCTCTCCTGCTGTGGGAGATTACAACACCTTGGTACACCGTGGGAAGAAACTTCAGGATGATGGAAAACTCCAAGAGGCATTGGACTGCTTCCAGCAAGCACTTGACATAAAAACTGGCGATCCTGAAGTTATGCTTCTGACTCTAAACTTGTACAGACAGCTGGCCCAGAAGTGATGCATGTGTGTGGTCTGTGAACACAGTCTGGCTGTTCCTTATCAACACATGTCTGCACTACAACACTAGGACCCTGACCTAGCTGCAGGCTGGTGCCCGCTGTACACTTGTGTGACTGAGCAAATTCAGCATCTCCTGGATTTCCTGGAGGAAACAATCCAGGAATCCAGGTGCTGGGGAGGGGACTTCACTGTGGAGTTGGCTAACAAATGTGAAAATGGTTCATGTTCCTGTCTGATTATTTAATTAAAACCTGTGTTGTTGATGTCTCACCCTTTCTTCCAGCCTGCAGCCCTGGCTTCACCTTCCTATCTTCCAGGTTCTGTCACTGCCTCTCCCCTGACAGGATGGGGAGGGTGCAGTGCCATGGCCACTGTGCAACCCAGCCTTGGGCAGCTGTTGTTCCTCTGTCCTCCTTGGCTTGAAATAAGCCTGTTTGGGTGCCTGAAGGTCACCCACCTTTTGGGTGAACTTCGTGCTGCCGCAAAGGAGAGAACAGCTCTTGCAGCCTGGTTGCAAGGTGGTCTGTGGAGGAGTTGTTAAAAGGTAAAAGCTGGTTGCTGCTCTAACTTCTCCAAGCAGGGGAGGAAGTGGAGCAGTGGAGGCCAGCACAGCATCTGCCTGGCACCAGGTCTAACACCCAGTGTGACAATGCAGGAGTCACTCTTCCCCCCCGCCAGGTGTGTATGGGTGGGTGGGAGGCTCTGGGGCTGGAACACAATTGTATCTTGACCACTGCAAGGTCCTGGATAGCTCAAACCCTTCAGTATTGCTGGAGGAGCCAAGGACTTAAAAGGAGACTCTAGGCTGGGCCTGCTTGGCCACCTTGCACCCTCCCACCTGCCTTTCCCCTCTGTCTGTGCAATGAAGGCTGTTCTTGCTCAAAGGCAGTGGGGAGGGATGTACGGGGTTTAACTGGTCTTTTTTTTTTTTTTTAAGGAAGTCCTGTAACCCTCTCCCCATACATATTCAGCTGTGTTAGGTTAAATATTTCTCAGGTACTCTAGGCACAACAAACCTATGAAGAACGTTTGTAGCTACTAGAACCACAGAATCATGAAGTGGAAACCAGCATAGTAGAGAGAGACCTTAAAGACCTTCCAGTTCCACACCCCTGCCATGGACAGGGACACCTTCTGCTAGACCAGGTTGCTCCAAGCCCTATCCAGCCTGGCATTGAACACTTCCAGGGATGGGGTAGCCCCAGCTTCTCTGTACAACCTGTGCCAGCGCCTCATCACCCTCACAGGGAACAATATATAGCCTAGATTTCTCCTTTTTTTGGTTTGAAGCCATTCCCCCTTGTCCTATCACTACAGTTCCTGATGGAGTCCCTCTCCAGCTTCCTTGTAGCCCCTTCAGATCCTGGAAGGCTGCTCTAAGGTCTCCACATAACCTTCTCTTGTCCAAGCTGAACAGCCCCAACACTCAGGCTGTCTGTGCTCCAGTCCCTTATCAACTTTGTGGCTTCCTCTGGACTTGCTCCAACAGTTCCATGCCCTTCTTTGGGGACACCAGAACTGTACACAGTGGCCCAGGTGGGGTCTCATGAGAGCAGAGAGGGAGAATCCCCTCCCTCACCTGCTGCCCACTCCTTTTGATGCAACCTAGGACAAGGTTGGTTTCTGGACTGCAATCACACACTGCAGCTCATGTTGAGTTTTTCATGACCCATCGCCCCCCAGACCTTCTTCCAGGGCTGTTCTCAATCCCTTCTCTGCCCAGCCTGCAGGTGTGCCTGGGATTGCCACAGCCTCAGTGTAGGACCTTGCACTTGGTTTTGTTGAACTTCATGAGGTTTGCACAGCCCCACATCTCCAGCCTGTCTGGATCCATCCCTCCCCTTCAGCATGTGAGCACATCACACAGCTCCACGTCAGTGAACTTGCTGAAGGTGCCTTGATCCCATGAACCACCAGTCAGAACCCCTGGTTCTGGCTTTTAGAGGTGCTGTGCCTGCTTGATCTGCCCCTTGCTGACACAACCTTGGCCTGGGTGTGCTTGTCACCGTGACTGACTCCTGCCAGTCTCACCTGGTGACAACACAGCAACAGATGTGGGTGTTTCCTCATACCAGGTGCATGTTTAGTGCTCTGCAGGGCTAAGCTGTGTGGGTTTGGGAGAGGAATACTTTGTACTAGGAGCCATGACAGAAACAAAACTACTCCTGCTGATGCAGGAGCTGTACCAATGTGCTTTTGCTAATAGAGAGAACAAAGCTCTGGTAGCTTGGAAACAAGTGGTTTATTAATAGAGCACTTGTAAACGACGCCACATCTGCTCTTGGCAGCCATTTGTTGGCCTCTGAGCTTTCCACGCCCTGAACAAAACCAACACCCTGAAAACGGAGGGAGAAGGACCTGTCCAGGATTCACCTCACCTCTTCCTTGTGTGGGATCTTGGAAAGAGCCTTTTGTTCTCTTTGATGTTTCCATCTCTGAGCTCTGTGCACGGTACTTACCTGCAAACAAAGCCGGTGCCTGTTGCTGGAGCTGTGGCAGGTCTGGGGACTCTGGGCAGGAAGGGGATCATGGCACTGGAATTGCAGGAACCCGCTGGGCTGCCTTGCTTGCATTCCACATCCAGTGCTGGGGAGTGCAAGAAGCAGCACACAAGCATTTAGTGTTTTCTTATTCAAATTCGAGTTACACGATTTCTTCTCCCAGCTTTGAGTGGGCAAGGTGTAGCTTTAGGTACAGGTGACTCTGTGCTCAGCAGGCCTCCTCCTTCCCTCCTTCCCCCAGCTCCCATAGAGCCTTAGCCCCGACCTGACCCACTGCCTGTGACGGTGACCATAGCTCCAGTGACACCCACCCTCTGCCAAAGAGACTGTCCTCCAGCCTTGGAGCACAGGCTGTGCCATGAAGCTGTCTGCACCCTCACGGGGAGGATGGGGCTGAAGACCAAGCCCTGGGGACCTCTCTGTCCCTTTCTGCATCACTTCTCTTTGCAGATAAAAGCCTGAGTATCTCATTCTCCTGGACAGACCACTGTCTCCACAATGGGAGAAGCAGGAGGCCAGTCTGCCAGGCAACAC